CAATACCTTGCCAGAGAAAGCGAAGCTGTGGTTGCATCTGTTGGGTAAGTGAACTCTGCTCAGTGCTGTTATATGGCAGTTGCTTGGTCTGCTTTGACTAGCCATTACTGAGAAAATTTCACAGTTTTCATTTGGCTCTTGTGCCAAGGTAGCCAGAATAGGCTCAGCATAAGACACTGAATCTCAGCATAATAGAGAAACCTTGTACAATTAAAAAAGAAGGGGAGAAAGGCGGGAAGCAGAGGGAGCAAAGCTAGAATTTATGAAAAATCATATTACTGAAAATGGGTCTGTCCTGCTCCAGTAATAAGCAAAATCTTGTCAGATAGGGCCTTTGTACATGCCACGAAACTGGCTTTTAGAGTGGCTTAAATGCCCTTTTGCACTGCTTTAATTGTGTTGCTGTCAGTGGCGTTACACTGCCAGTGGCGTATTGTGCTTTAATGGCGCTGCTGTTTACAATGTTGGCAGTGTATTGCACTTTAAATGAGTTTGGTTCTTGGCAAAATAAAACACCTCCAACGTGTTTTATCTTGTTACCTAACAAAGTGCAACAGTCGCAGAGGGACGCGCCAAGCCCTGTGCAGCTCAGGGGCTGTGCATGCAGCCTGTGCAGGCAGGCTCCACTGAAGGAAAAAAAAAGGTGGCAAGACTGATTTTGTTTTTTTTTTCCCTCCCTGGAGCCTGCGTGCCTGCCTGAGCTGTGTGGGGGCCCGATGCTTCCCTTCACGGCTGCAGGGGAGGGCCGGTGCTTCCTTCTGCAGCTGCGGTGCCCCTCCAGACTGCCTAGGCCAGGTGCCAGCAGGTAGGTGCCACCTGGGGGATGCTGCCACGGAGGGAAGCACTGGTCCATCCCACAGCTCAGGGACTGCTCAGCTCACTGGCAGCTCACCCTCCAGCCCTGCCACCAGAGAGGCAGGTAAGGATCGGACCCCCCACCCTTGTGTACATGCCACGGGGGTTTAGTTCAGTTTAATTCTCCCTGAACTGAAGTGGTATTTTTAAAAACCCACTGCTTCAACATAGGGAGAACTAAACTGAATGAAACCCTGTGGGGTATACAAGCAGTCATACTCTGTCAAATACTCTGCTTGAAGTGGTCTGACAAGCAAATGCCTGGTGGCATTTCTAGGCATCACTGCCATCATTTTTAGGAGGGTGTCTGCAGTATTAACTGAGCAATCTTCTGTGGAAGGGCCGGGGGAGAGAGGGAGAGGAAGGGGGTTTGCAGGACACAAAAAGATGAGATGGTAACATCACATTTAAGTGGGGTTCCCCTACTTCCTAATCACTCTCTCTTTGATGCCTTAGGTATCGTCTGGCACCTGAGCATAAGCCCCCAGCCCAGTACGAGGACTGTCTCACAGCTGCCATACACTTCATGAGGAATTCAGAAGACTATGGAGTGGATCCGACACATATTATCATAGCTGGGGACAGTGCTGGAGCCTACCTTGCTGCTACCGTTACTCAAACACTCACAAGTAGGCCAGACCTTCCTAAACTTCGTGCTCAGGTTTTGATGTATCCATTTGTCCAAGGACTCGACTTCAATTTACCGTCGTATCAGCAATACTGTATGATCCCAATATTGCCCCGAGAACAAGTTGTTTTCTTTGCTTTGCAGTGGCTGAAAAGGGAACCATCACTTTATAAAACTGTGCTGGAGGGTGCCCATGTTCCTCCAGAAATAAGACTGAAGTACAGGAAATGGCTGAGCCCTGACAACATCCCTAAGGAATTTAAGGTCAGGGGCTACAAGCCCCATTTTCCCACTGAGTATAGAAAAGATGTCTATGAGCAAATTAAAGTATCGTTTGACCCACTTACTTCCCCACTTTTAGCTGAAGATGCCATTGTTTGTCAGCTCCCTGAGACTTTCATTATGACCTGTGAATATGATGTGCTTAGGGATGACGGGCTCTTGTACAAGAAACGATTGGAGGACAGCGGTGTCCCAGTAACTTGGTACCATGGTGAAGATGCTTTCCATGGAATTATTAACCTGTTTGATAATGGCATGCTGACATTTCCAGCTGGAAAAAGGGGACTGGACAATATTGTAAACTTTCTAAGAGACTTATAAAAAACAACTTTCATTTCTTTGATTATTACCCTCTCACAGAACCACATAGAAATAAGGCTAAAGTGGGTCTCAGGAGCTCATCTAGTCCCACTTCCAGCTCAATGCAGGATTCTCCATATCAAAACTATTGGCAAAATGTTTGTCCAGTGACTGGACTTCCACAACCACTGCACCTTTTCTCTTCCAATATTTAACCACCTATCCCACCAACTTGGAATGTTTTTTGTAACATCCATCCTAAAATATCCCTTGGCGCAATCTAAGCCCAGTTTTGCCTGTCCTCTCCAGATACAAAATATGTGACCACTGTCCTCTTTAGAAGAACGTTTTTTTGTAATCGGAGACTATTCAAATTCCTCTGTCCCCCTCCCAGTCTTCTTCTCTCCACACTATATAATCCAAATGCTTTTATCCTTTCTTAATATGTCTTCTCTTCTACACCACTAATCATTTTTGTTTCTCTCCTCTAGACATTTCCAAATTTCTGCATGTCTTTCTTGAGTGCAGTGCCCTAAACTGAACACAGTACTATAGGGGAGGCCAGATCAATAATGAATAGCTGGAAGAATTGCTTCTCATGACTCACATGTGGCATCCCTGTTAATTCATCCTTGGATACTATTACCTTTTTTTTTTTAATCAATACGGCTATGCCAACTGATATTCAGCTTGTGGCTCACCATAGGACCCAATGGTGATAAGTGTAAAGTATTGCACATGGGTAAAAATAACCTCAGCTCTACATACCCACTGCTGGGCTCTGAACTAGGTGTTACATCTCAGAAGGAGGAGAACTTGGAGTCAATGTAGATAGCTCCCTACAAACACTGGTGCAATGTGCATGCTAACCAAAATAGTCAATAAAACTACAGCCACTACAGCCAGCTTGGAGTCATCTGTAAGATTACTAACTATGCAGTCCACCCATCTGCCAAATCATTCATGACACTATTAAACAGCACTGGGCACAGGCCAGATGGTTGGGGATCCCCACTAGATACCTCCCCCAGTTAGACATTGAATCATCAATGATTCCTCATTGAGCTATGTAATCAGGTAGGCTGGTTACAGAGGCTTTACCTACTGCTTATCTGTTGCCTTTATTTATGCCTCAGAAATTAAACCATATCGGTAAGACATACTGTTTCTATGACATGATGTCATGCAAGATACCAATTAATGCTCAAGTTTAGAGGATTATATGAAAACTCTTTCTGCTGACGGTTATCATATTGCAATAATATAGCTGTCTATTTTATGACTACTTTTCACTTCGCTGCAGTACTTGCTTTATCTGTATCCAAAAATATTAAAAAACTGTATTTGACTGGTTTGACCCATTTGTTGTAAGTAAGGCTTGAGATATACAGCGTGTATGCCATTGTATGTCTACCTCCATTTGTTTGACATTAAAAAGGTAACAACCACCTACATCATCACATTATGACACAAGTGTTATGGTGTACCTTTGTAGCATTAGAATCGAAGATTGCAACTTACAGCAATAGTCGTAAAATATTTTTTTAAAGTACTCGCTCTCTTTTCTTCTACCTCTTTAAAGACTCATCATGGACGGTGGAATGTTTTACACTTCAGTCCATGATTTTAAGTCGCTTTCCTTCAAAAAGAAAAAAAAGGAGTAATCAAAGCTTTTGAGGGATGTAAATGTGAATATATTCATATAGCACATACTTACATCTGTGCTTCATCTGTAAATAAAATGAAATATCCAGTCCTTACTATGACATACTGAAGATGTTGATCCACACACTGTTCATTTCCAGACCCGGCGTTCCAACCCATAGTGTGACTTGGAACATCTAATTTCATATTTCTTACACTAGAAAGTCATTGACACTTGATCCCCAGGGACTCATTTGGGGTGTAGGATGCAAGATTCAGGTTTCTGCTTTGCCTCCTTTAGACCACAGCCTTGGCTCTGGTTCTCCCTCATTCCACAGGGGCACTTTGAGCACACGGGGGGGGGGGTACTTTTCACTCTGTTTTCTACCCAAAATGTCCTCAAAAATTGCACAGTCTCTTAAAAAGCTTTGAGTTTGGCAAAGCAATGCTTCCCAAAGAAAATTCCTGACTGGCTCGTTCAGTTATTTGCACTAAAATACCAATCCTGTCAAAGCTGTCATTGCTAATAGGAGCATGGAAGAGAGGATACACAGGATCATGGGTCTGCATAATGTAGTGAGAGTGACATCTTTTTTTGGTTTGGAAAATATGACCACTTTTTATTCCTAATTTCTTCAAAGAGCCAGGCCTACACTTAGTGTAAGAAAGCCCAGCCAGGCACCTGGGTCCCATAGTGGGGGACCTAAGTCTAAGAAGTCCAGCAGGACTTCTGAGGTTAATGGACGTGGTGGGATACTGCTGGCTGCATCTGGGGCATGAACTCCAAAAGTTACAGGGCGCTTACACAAATGCCTTCCAGGCACTTCCAATCATGCTGTAACTTTTGCACTTTACACAAAGTGCTTAAAGATACAGTACAATTGACCTTAACAGCGGTTTGGCGTTTGGAGGTTTATTGGATCCTCTTTGCACTGGCTGAGGCCAGGAGTTGGGGGTGCTGTTGTACACTTCACAGCATGCTCTGCAGGCTCCTTGGGCTGTGGGAGAGTGCCTAGAAAAGGGTCTAGCCATAGAAGAAACTGCATTGCGCATGTCCAGCCCAGCCCTGCAAAGCTGCAGAATCACTCTAAATTAACCCTTACAAGAAACTTGTACACAAGTTTCCTAAGGTGCTCTGCCCTAGGGCCTCTCCAGCTAGTAGCTGTTTAATGACGGTTAATTTTTCACATGATTGGCCATTTTTAAAGTGCTCTGCAGCCATGAATGTTTGTTATATTATGGTTGTAGAGCGCTTTCAGGGGCCTTATTGAGTGAAAAAAATGTACTTCTGTAAGCGGTCCCAGAGGCAGCAGGCAGTACACTGTTACAAGAGCTTCCTTTCACAAGCACATGGCCATGGAAGCTCATCACTCTGACTGCTCTGGTTCAGCACTTAACCAGTCTACTGTAGGCAAATCAACTGCTGGCTTGGAAGCATGTGACGGTATTAAGAAAGGACTGCCACATATACACCTGATCTCTTCTCTACCTACGTGCTTCCTCTTTATTACACTTAACTTCTGATAAGTAGGCCTTATGTCTCATTCATTCCCAAACGTTCACTTTTCTTGGGGCTCCTGTAATTTAAACCATCTCCTCTTAATTACTGCTTATCCAGACATTGAGTGATGGTCTAGTGAATTATATTCCTGGTTAATATTGAGTTCTTACTCATTCAGTCCCTTCCCTTAATCTTAGCAATTAGCTTAGCTATTATACCAATAGTAACTATTAATACTAAATAATAGCAAATCTATTGCTCATCACACCTGACAGTTCAATGAAGAAAAGTGCCAGGCAATTTCAATGCAAGGATACTGTAACAAAGAGCCTGGGGCTCCCTGTTACTTTAAGATAATAGCGGCTCAGCCAGGGAGCACTGCAGGCTAAGCAGCAGCTGCAGGTTGCCAGGGCAACAGGCTAATGGAGTAATTAGCAGGTACCTGAGGACGGTCAGCTGACCAGATGTAGGCAGAGCCCTGGGAACATATAAGCCCAAGACTGGGGCTGCCGGGGCTTCAAGAGAAAAAGAGAGGACATCAAGGCATTGGGTTTCATAGCAATAGAGGACAGAGTAGCAGAAAACTGGAATGTCCTCTATGATGGCCACCCTAGGCCAGGCCAGGCTGGGGGATGCAGCCCTGGGGACAGCAAAACACAGACAGCGGCCCTGCCTGCATTCTCCTGACTCTGCCCCCGCAGTGCCTGCTGTGGCACTGGGACCTGTGGCTACTCCGGAGAGCCTGGAACAGCAACTTAAAAAAAAAAAGTTTTTTTTAATTTCCTTGCACATCTCCTGGCATGCCAGGGAAAATGTCTCTACATGCCACTTATTGGCATGCCTGCCAGGCTGGTGTAGTGCTTACCCTGTTCCAGCAATATGTGATAGCCAGTTCTTTGCAGTATGTGGAAATGGACTTCTCCAGAAAAGGTCATTGCAGTGTCTCTTGTTCCTGTGGGCATGCAACTGAAGTTTGGGAAAATGGATAAATGAAGACAATATCCCTAAACTTTTTAAGATAAGAGACTACAGACTGCATTTGATCACTTCATATTTATAGGACGTCTATAAGGTAGTTACACAAGCTTTAGAGTAAGATGTCCTTTGGGAGGTTGGACTGCTTTACCAGAAATGATTAGAAGGCATTAGTATTCATATGACCTATGGCTATTTCATCACCGAATGCTATCTTTCTCCTTTGGAGAAAAGAGAATGGACACTGTAAGCTTCCTAAAAAGCTTATGGAAAAATGTACTTCCATGTTATATTTCTTTGTGTGAATTTTCACCGTGTCTCTTGAAGTCTGGATCAAAGAAAATTTTAACAGGATGGGGACTGCAGTTTTGCAGTTTTCTGCTTTCACATTTTTAGTTGCAAGATAAAAAAAGCAAAACCTTGACTACTTTTAAAACTTTCTGACTTTATGCTCTACAAGAATAAATGGTACATTTTTCTTTAGTGTTAGTTCCTGAAGGGAAGTTTTCTTCTGTTTTCAAATAATTTTTGCTCAGCTTCTGGGATGCGTACAATGCAACGCATTTTCATAAACACATCTATTTAGAATAGGAACTATAATTGGCTCAGATGCTGTTTTATGATAGGTAAAGGTAGGATATTTAATGGTTATCATTGTATATACATGAGGCACTGCAGAGAAGTTTTCAGATTTACTGAAATAAGAATAAAAGTGGGCAAATCCCTGTCACCTCCATAGGAAAAGTTATAGTTAGTAAATCAGTTTTGACCCTGGAGGTGCCTAATCCCATGGCTCTCCTATACATGTGGGGAGCCTGGTCTGATGCGCTGGAAATCCAGTGAATCGGAGCAGACTCAATTAATCGATTAATTACTCGATTAATTGAGTCTGCTGGAGCACAGAAATTGATGCGTTCTGGAAGTCTTCCATGTTATGTGTATCTGTCCCCATGCTGAAAAGATGGTGGCGGGTCGCTTTGAAATAAGTCATGTTCAATGAGCTTTAATTGAAAGCACCCCGCTACCATTTTTTCAGTGCAGGGATGCTGATACACGTGACACGCAGACAAATTAAATTAGTTCAGCATGCTAATTAAAGCGCCTGGTACCACATCCCAAAGCACGTGTAAAAATGCCCCATGAATAAAAATCCTTTCAACACATGAGGCACCTACAGTAGCCTACTGACACATATTTCAGTCTTGATGGGGATTACCACCCTCCTTTCTCAGCCTGATCAGGATCAGAGCTCTTCACAACAGAGGTGACTAGTGCCTCCTGAGTCTGGGGGGGGTGGGCACAATTTGTGGGCGGGCCTGGGGATTGGCCAAAAGCCCCATATTCACTCATATACTTTTGTGCCGCGGCTTAGTGCCCCCCGCCCCCAACATGCCACCGGCCCTCACAGCAAAAAACTACCCTGTCCTGAGCAGTGCCAAGTCAGGGGCCTATCTCGGGGGGGCACATGCCCCCTCTGGCCTCCCTACCAGTCACCTGTGCTTCACAACATCCCTATATATTCCTTCACCTGTGTCCTCTGACAAGTTTGAATCAGTAAGCACTCTCAAGAGTACAGCAAGCATTTGGCAACAGCATTGGATTCTGTAAAAAAAATACACTGGCAGCTGGCTACTGCTTTCTTTTAAACTATTAATAGAAGAGGAGGAGGAGGTGGCAGCAGTTCTGCTCACCTTTTAAATGATAGTCCCGTGGTTACAGCATTTATGCAGAAAGTAGAAGATCTGGGTTCAGTTCCCTTCTCTTCCAGAAATGGGTCAATCCTTGCCCCATGATTCCCAAGACAAATGAGTGCTCTTGCCACCAAAATATAGGCGAATGTGGGTGAAAGACTCTCCATATCCTGCAGAAGCTGTCCTACCGTGCAGAAAACAATTCAAGATCCCTGGGGCCAAGTAGAGAAGCCCGACTCTGGGCATGTCTATACTGGCTCTACACTGTTCTCAAGACTTGGGCCAAAAAATAAGCCTCACCCACCTGTTGAGGTAAATATACTTCAAGCCTGGAACAGAGACGGTGAGAACTCCAGGAGCTTCCCCTACTGCTACTCTCGGGATCTCAAGAGTGGCATTGGGGGGGCAGCTCAGAGGGTCCTCACCATCCTAGTTCTGGGTTGTTGGAACATCCAGAGCAGGAGCAGGTAAGCAAGGTGTTTTTTGGCATCAGTTCTGAAAGCAAAGAGCCAGTGAAAACATATCCACTGTTGCCTGGGGCTGATAACACTCACCTGCAAAAGTACAGAGTTCTTGGTTCCAGTAATGGTGAAGGCACCCAATCATTTCATCTATACACACAAGAAGTAATATATCTGATTTAGCCCTTGTTTTCTGCTGGGAGATTCTGACAGACCCATATTTTCATTTTGCATGGTTTCATGAGCCTCTTTCTTTATTCCCCTTCTCCTAGATCCTAAGAGGTTTTATTTGTTGTTTCCTAAGAATGGGATTGCAAACAATTCACTGAGTAACCCATCTGGTATCTGAATATGGGCTGAGTGTTTTCAGCTGATGTTTCTCTAGCAATTGCTTAGGTTGCCTGAAAAGCACACTGAGGGCTTTCAAAAGCTTCTGGGGATGCATCTCTGATTCAGTTAATCTATAAAGTGCAAATCTACCCTACCTTCTGTCAAACAGTGCAAGAACCTTGAGAATTAGCACTGGATCTTTGCAATGTCTCTGTCTTGAGCTCTTACTGGAGAACCAGTTTTCTCCTTCATTTTTGCATCCAGCTGCAAACAGTTTTAAAACAGAGGTGATGTTTCCAAGCTTCTGTTTGCTTCCATCATGAGGAATACACATTTCCTTTTTTATTGGAAACTGGGATGTTGATATACTTTTTAAACCTGCACTTTTTAAGAAAAGCAATGGAGCCACTTATGATAAAACCAAGAGAACTGGCAACATCAGAAAATATGGCCGAGACTTACTGCAAATCTTGTGATGATTTTTAAATTATTATTTCTTTTTTGGGAAATTTTAGAGGCTTATTCGAATTTAGCTTTCAAAATGACATTTTTGTGGGTGAGATCTTTTATTGGACTATCTGCATGGTTGGGATAGACTTAGAAGGCTTTCAAATACAAGACATTCTTCAGGTCTCTAAGGAATTTAGCTATTTGTTTTCTTAAAGGTCCCGTTTAGATGGGAGGGGGGCAGCACACTGCGAGCTGGACAAATATTGATCAGTGTTAGTGCTGGATCAAGTTTGGAGCAGTCACACATTCAGGCCAGCAGGGACCTGGTGGAATATGAAAGGTTAGAATCCCCCCATCCCATCCTGGCTCCCCCCCACCATTACTTGTGACTGCCTACACCAGGGGTGGGCAATTATTTTGGGCGGAGGGCCGCTTACTGAGTTTTGGCAAGTCACTGAGGGCCACATGACAAGCAGTCAGGGGCAGATAAATATTAATTTTCTAAATTTTTTAGGGGCTCTGCAGGTTGGATAGAATGGCCTGGTGGGCCACATCTGGCCCCTGGACCGCATTTTGCCCACCCCTGGCCTATACTGTCTGTCTTGGGGGAGAAGGCAGGCAAAGGTTAACCTGCCTTGCTAGCCCCTGCTATTGCCATTGTCACACTGCTGCTTCTCTCTGGGCTAAGCCTGGCTCAGAGAGTGGCGGTGGTAGTGGCCAGGCAGTCCAGTTAACCCTTCCCTGACTGTTCCCCTGGGACAGACAGCACAGGCGGCCACAGGTAAGTAAGGGGTGTGGGCAGTAAGCAGGGATCTGGGTTGCTTGTGAGGGCTTGTGGGGGGCAGTGGGCCCAATCTGGTCCACCAGGAAAAGTGGGTGGGGTGTTTACACTAAGATGTAGCCTACAGTGACCACACCTTAGTGGAACAGGGATCAGAGATAAGCTGGCTCTGAAGTGGTATAACTTGGTGCTGCTTAATGAGTGCTTAAAACCAGGTTCACATATTATGAGCTCGAGGAACCACCCAAAATTACTGTGTAACAATGCCCTAACACTCAGTAATCCAAATGCAGTGGACCTGAATACAGTCTGGAGGCAGAACACATTCAGTGTTTCTCCATTTTCTTGTAAATGGCTTTACTGCAAACTTTCATTTCAGATTATCTGCACCATCCTATGAACATTACGAACTTTTTGTCTCTCTTCTTGTGGATGTAAGACTGAAGTGCTCACACAGATCACACAGCTCTGTATCTCTTCTCCCCCCCAAGAGTAACGTGAAATTAAATGCAGCTTAAATATACACATGTTGTTTCTACTTTCTCCTAGCTGGTGTTTAGTGGCAACTTGCCCAGTGTTTAGACATTAAAAATTAAAGCATTATATTTGCTTGAAGCACAAACAGAGCTGCTTGGATACCGGCTGTTTTAAGATACTGATTTATTAAAGTTCAGGAGCAAAAATTCTTTTCTCTAGTAATAGAAGCCAGGAGCCTTTGTTCATACATTAACTGTAAGAGGGGGGAGACAAATTCCTCCTAGTGATCACGTGCATGAGTCTAACAGGAACAGGGAACAATACATCAGAGAGGCACAGGAGAGTTCAGTGAAAATCAGACCTTTGCTCCTTGCTAAGCAAAATGGAGTTTCTTTTTACACTGCTTGTGTTGGTACTGGCAGTGTTCGTTGCTTCTTTTGTATTGCTGGTTTTGGGGATAATTCAGTTTGAAATCACCAACACAGAAATCCCCCCTGGAATGGATCAGCCTATAAAACTCCGAATCATTCATGGTCTTTTTGTGGGTTCAGCTGTCCTGGTGAGTTTAACCTGCCTCAACCTTTCTCTCTCTCTCTCTTTTCTTTTCTCTCTCTCTCTTTTTAAGGGTTTGAGAAAGGTGGGGAATTAGTTGAATTCATAAATGTTAAAGCTGTGCATGGAGGTGACTCTATAGACACTGCCTATGCTGCACGTAGGCCCTCACAGCTTCCAGAATGGTCATTTGGCACCTAATATGCAGTTGTCAGTATTATTTTATTGGTATTGTGCTCATGCCAAATACAAGTCCATTATTTTTGCTTCAAGAACACCAGTTATTTTATGTTTAAAAAAATACAGCATAGCTAAGCATACTGTATAGCTGTTTTCCATATGCTAAAAAGACTGGAGTCTTCCTGCACTAACCTGTTGGTTGTCTCACTTTAACTAGGGGAAGATTTTGGAGAGGATGGGTCTCTGCAGGCAAATCAGTTTTATCCGGCGCATAAGAAGTGAAAAGAAACCAGGGATGGACCCAAAACTCTTCATTAAAGACCTAGATTTTGAGACGGTGCCTGTGAGGGTTTACCAGCCTAGAGCATCATCGTCTGGCCAAAGAAGAGGCATTGTTTTCTTTCATGGTGGTGGCTGGGTATTTGGGGACCTTGGTATGTGTTCAAGATTGCCAACTGTCAGTAAATTTATGTACAGTCAGTTGTAACAAAAAAGCCAGCTAAAAACAACTCTCTATAAAGTCCATAGAAAAAGAAGAAAATGGAGCCATCCATAAAAAGCTAAGCAACCAGGAGCTTTATTGAAGCTCTGTCTCTGAACAAGGCTGAATGCTAGACAGGGAAGAGGAGTGCCACCAGATGTCTGAGTGATAGTGCAGCACCCTGCAGGGAGCATCTTCTCAGGGATTTGTAGCCCATATAGCTCCCCCTGTCCCCAGGCGTGTGCTGTTGCGTTCCAGTACCTGCCTGTAACATTGCTGGTCAGTAGAGGAATAGGGCATCAACTCTGGGATCCAACTAGGAGAGGACACCAGAATCACCAACTAATATTTATGTACTGGGGTTGGGGAGGGAGAGGGGAAAAGGAAGGAGGGGGGAAGGGAACAAATGGGACACAGGGTGGCTAGGGAGCCTAGCCAAGGGGCTGCTGCCACCGGAGTGGATCTGATGCTGCTATAGCAGTGGCAGCAGTAGCCTGGGAAAGTAAACCTTCCCTTTGCTCACATTTCCCCTACCAACCTCCAGTCCACAGTGCTGGCAACACCTGCCACCACCACCCCATTTCCGCCCCTGCTACAGTCCCCTCCCTTTCCCAAGCAGTCAATGAGCTTGCCATGCCTCTGCTGCATGATCACAGGTCAACAGACGTAGTCTTTATCTGGGAGTCTGTGCTAGGACGGGGGTGGGGCCAGTGGGGGGTAAGCCTTCGGAAGCAACATGGTCCAGGGTTCAATCCAGGGCATCAGGTGTGGGGGTGAAAATGGGACCTCTGTGGTGGGGGGCAGCACAGTGTAAAATCATTCGTGAAGTCAAGCAGGGTTGCCAAACCAAGAGGAAAAATTACTGGTAATTTGCAATTACCCAATTCGCAAAGTTTACTGACAACCAAAATTATTTACTATGGTTGGTGTTAACTACCTAAATTTGAAGCCATCCCTTGGCCAAGGCCTGGCAGAATGGTTAAATTTACATTATGTAAAATGTATGTCAGTAAAAACATTGCCTGTCAGTAAAAAGTTTGTAGATTATCAATAAAAAATGGCTTTGGTTGACAACCTTACATATTCTTAACAGAAAAATTGAGATGGATATTTCTAAAAAGATGTCTCCATGCTTTTACCAACCTCAACATCAGAAGCAGATATTGGCTTTCACCTGAGATTTGGGAGATGCTCTGATGTTTAACTTTTCTGGTTAGCTTCACTGATTCTGTATCAGAAGTTTTTTGTAGGAGAGCACTTGGCAAACTTTACTGGCTGTATCAAGCATCAGGACAGCCTAGAAGAACTAATAGGACATGAAAGCAGGCAGAATTTAAGAGGGAATGGGGGAAGGAGAGAATTTCCTCTTTCTTTAACTGTAAATTTGGGGAAAATAGGTCATGGAATTGGAAATCCTTAAGACACTAGCAAAGCATCAACAAAAAACATTTTTCTTTCAGATTCCTATGAAAAAGTGTGCCGTTACATTGCCAGAGAAAGTGAATCAGTGGTTGCTTCAGTTGAGTAAGTGAACCCCACCAGGTGCTATTATGTGGAGGTTGTTCACTATGTATGTGATGGGCACTTTGAAGGGATGCATTGGTTTTGGAGACCCTCTTTCTCAGACATTATTTCTACATTCTGGTAACTCAGAAAGACTCAGGCTGACTTAATTTTACAGTTTTTTACTCTACTCTTGTGCTGAGATGGTCATAATGGGCCCAAAGTAAGCTCTTGCATCAGAACACAGCAAGGACATCTGTTGGAACTTAAAAATGAAAAAAAATAAAAAGGGGGGTGGTGGTGGGAAGCAAATGTAATAAAGATAATTTTACTGCAACATGAATTTCTTTGTCTTCCCCCAATAATAATTATAAACTTGTTAGATACTGAGTTAACTTCTCCTCCTCTTAATCAATTCTTGGCTAGACAAACTGCCCTTGAGATTTTGGCTTGAATAAGAAATCTTTCATCTTGTATCCTATATTGTGGAATAACTTTTAGGCATCAATTTATGTTGGCTCCATACTTTTACAGTCTCTGCATAATCACATAGTAAGATACTGCCCCTGCCCAAAAACCATGCAATCTAAGTGGACAAGACAAAAAACCCGACAAATATTAAACACAGTAAAAATAATATATGAACAAGTATTATCATTCCCATTGGACAGCTGTGTCACTGAAGCACACAATGATTAAATGAGTTAGACAAGAACCCAGAGACAGTCTGGGGCTAAGGTAGGAAAGGAACAGAAAAAATAAAACCAACAGAAAACCAAAAAAACCCCACGAGGGCCGAATATGAAGATGACTGTAAGAAATAGAGCCAATTATAAAGTCTCTCAATTTTAAAATAACTCTTTCTTTGATATACTAGGTATCGTTTAGCACCTGAGCACAAGTATCCTGCACAGTTTGATGACTGTCTCACAGCTGCTGTACACTTTATGAGGAATTCAGAAGACTATGGAGTGGATCCCACACATATTATCATAGCTGGGGACAGTGCTGGAGGTCAACTTGCTGCTCTTGTCAGCCAAGCACTCATGAGTAGGCCAGGCCTTCCTAAACTTCGTGCTCAGGTCTTGATCTATCCATTTGTCCAGGGATTGGACTTCAATTTGCCATCATACCTACAAAACTGTAAGGTGCCACTTTTGTTCCGAGAACGTGTTCCTTTCTTTGCTTTGCTGTGCCTGAATGGGGACGTATCGGTTTTGGAGGATGTCTTGGAGGGCACCCATATTCCCATGGACATAAAACTGAAGTACAGGAAATGGCTGAGTCTTGACAACATCCCTGAAGAATTCAAGGTCAGAGGCTATAAGCCACAGTTGTTCACTGAATGCAAAAAGGAAGTTTATGAGCAAGTTAAGGGAATATGTGAGCCAACTTTTTCCCCACTTTTAGCGGAAGATGCCATTTTCTGCCAGCTCCCTGAATCTTTCATCCTGACCTGCGAGTATGATGTGCTTAGGGATGATGGGCTGTTATATAAGAAGCGACTGGAGGATTGTGGTGTTCAAGTGACCTGGTACCATGTTGAGGATGGATTCCATGGGATCATTTCCATGTTTGATAAGGGCATACTTTCATTTCCAGCTGGAAAAAAGGCACTGGACAAGATTATAAATTTTATAAGAGGATTATGACAACATTGTAAACATTCTAAAAGGCTTCTAAATCTTGTCATTTTCTTTGTTCCCACAGTGTTTGTTCTTCCATTTAGCGATATTTTATCACTCGGCCTCTTGTGGGCTCAATTCAAGTTTAGTTGAATTCCACTTCTACTGGGAAACTAAAATCTTCCCTTGCAGTGAATCATGCTAAATGATTTACTTTGGCGTTCTTCTATTGTATTTTCTCTATGAGAGTCCATATAAAACAAATTTACAGAATCTATAAGAAAATTAAAAATTTTAGTGATCATACTGTACAACTTAATTGCAAGAGAAGTATATCCCTCCAGCTCTATATGAAGGACAATATTCTCTACAAAATACAGTTGGGCCTTGATTTACATGCTATTTTTCGCATGGTTTCAGTTATTCATGGTCAATTAATTGTGACCTTTTATTTTTGTACATTATATGGATTCTCTTTTACATGGTGTAGCGCAGTCACCGAGATGTGCAGATGTGTCTAGAATCAACTGGTCATTTTCTGCCCCCCCTCCCACTCCACCATGCTGCTCTCAGTGTAGCTGGTGTATTGTGTTGTGGTGGAAG